TGGAATCAAACAGCCCAAGGCAAAAATAACCTACATAGCCTTCATGTCATGGTCTCCTTCTACCTAATGTAATTTCATAGAACACAGTTTGTGGAGACATAACATTTAATCATACTCTAGGCAGTACAATTATGCGACCAATTACAGTCCTTAAATATGAAATGCAGTGACTTCATCCTTAAAAAATAAGGCGCAACTGTCTCTTAATTACTAATCATCAGTGACTGTTTGATCGTGAACTTTGATACTGGAGGCAGAAACAGAGAAGGGGCAACAGAAGAAGTGAGCATTTAAACAAAGGCAGGAGCCCACACAAAGTAAAGAAACAGCAAATGAGAGCGAGTGAGGAAGAGTTAAGAAAAAAATAAGTGGATAAAGAAGAGACCTGAGTGTGTGACAGAAATGGCAGAAAACACCTCCACCACTTAGAGCAAGAGAAAAAACAAGCTGAGAAAAAAAGGGAAGCTGACAGAGGGTAACAGAGAGAACGTGTAAGAGGAAGATGGTGAAAAGCCGAGACAAATGAAGGAACAGGCTGGAAGGAAGAAGTGAGGCAGAAAGTGCAGCAGGGTGGAAAAATAAATAAAACAGTTCACACATCTCACCGTCCTCAACAAACACAATGGTCACAAAGCAGAATAAAAGCAAATCAGAGTTGAAAGATTACATCAGTATTTACATACAGGGCTGCCACTCTTTATTGTTTGGCTAAGTGGAAAACATGCTGATGACAACAGTCCAAACTCAGGCTCAGCTGTTCAACTGGATAATGGTGGACGTCAAAACCAGCAAAATATTATTTCATTTGAATTATCTTCTGGGGCCTGTTTTTCTCTGCTCATACACTGTCCATGTGGATTTTAAAGTGAAAATCATATGTGCACACTATCCAGAAAACACGATGTAGAACCAGGTAAGTTGAGGCTGTATATTAAGAGCAGACAAAAAGCAATAGACAGGTGGGATTTAAAGGTTCTCAGCATGAGTGCAGGCTGAGCAGTGACTTTTCCAGGAGAGACAGATGTTAGCGACATTCAGATCAGTTAATTTTGGATGCTTGTGCACAGGGATTCATTCAGGTCTGATGAAATCTTCTAGGCAGGAGCAGAAAACTGCAGAACTGGAAGTAAAATCTGAAAAGGGAAAGTCCCAACTAAGAAATTAGGTAGGTAGGTAGGTAGGTAGGTAGGAAGGTAGGTAGGAAGGTAGGTAGGTACTTTATTGATCCCTCAATGGGGAAATTTCAGTGTTTCAGCAGCAATGGAGAACAAACAACATACAGTAACACCATGAGAAACAAACACCACACACATATCTTGATAAACAAATTTCAGTACCTCAAGCAGCAATAGTACAGCAAGAGAATAACACAAAGCAAACACTGGAAAACTTCATAAAAACACAAAAGAAAACACAACGAGACCAGAGCTGCTGAAACTTGCTGCCACTCCGCGCAGCACATGCGTGAGCCAGACATGGAGAGCAGACCTTAGTTCGATATAATCACAGGTACAGGAGATAAAAATTAGACTCACGTTGTCTGTGTGATGAATGACTGAGATCGCAGCCAGTGCACAGACCTGAATTACAATAAAGACGCAGACTGAAGGATTAGCCCCACATCTGCTGGTGCTTGGACAATAATATCACCTGTGTGATCCAGGCCTCCATTTGGACATTTAGATCAGGACCTATCAGCTTGCATCATTAGTTTAATGTTAAATGTGAAGAAAAGGACAACGAGGAATTGTTTCATAGTGTAGTGTGTGTGAAACAATGTAAGGCCTGGAGGACATCACTGAACAGCTAGTGCTCTTTAGTGGTGGTGTGTGTAAATTTAGTTCTCAGTTGGATAAATGTTGGATAAATGTCTGAACCAAATGATGTAGAAAACTCAAAGGGATATGAAACAACCAGTGGCTGAGTCTCTGAGACACTGTCGTCTTTCTTTATACATACTTGCTCAGTGATTGGCTGAGGAGACCCCCCTCCCTAATCACGTGCCGATAACCGAAAAGGAACACACACACACACACACACACACACACACACACAAGTGCTGCACTCATCACGGCCTATTCTCAGAAGAAAATGACACAATTCAATTTTTGGTGCCAGTGTGTGCATGTGTGTGTTTAGGTGTGCACATTTGTATACAGGAGGACTGTGTGTGTGTGTGTGTGTGTCAGCGAGGAATTGTTTCATAGTGTAGTGTGGATGACACCTTCAGCGCTGAACAGGTGGAGGTCTTTGGGGAGCAGAGGCTCTTCCCATAGTCTGATGTGTAATCATGATCATCAGTCACACACCGAGTGTTCTCTCTATTCCTCTATATTTAACACATTATGCAGCAGGAGGGGCAGCGGTCCAGAGACGCACACTGAACACACTCACACTGGGAAAGACACAAGTATCACCCCTCTGGGCTCAGACTCACTGAATATGGAGCTCAACATCGCTCTGCAGTCACTGCAGTGGTTTTGTTTCACACTTCCATAAAGCTACAATCCTATAAATGATTAACCATGAATATAGAAGCTTTAATTCCCAATTAAAATGATTATAATAAATCATAGCGAGTGGAAAACGCTAGAGCCTGACATTATTTATAATTACACAATGGATTTATAACACCTATGAAAACACAATGTAACAATGTAATGGAGGCAAGTGCAGCACTTTGCGTATCTGAGGCTGTGTTTACAGACCAGGATGAACTCACTGACACTGTGACATCATCGTAGAGTTTGTGAGGACGTCTGAGTGGAGAAGCCTGAAAAACATCAGTGGCTACAGGAAACCATCCCCTCCTGCTGTGAAAGACCAACACCTGGCAGACAACCTGTAGGTTTGAGAAGCAGAACTCCCCCCTCACCCCCCTCACCTCAGACCCAGCAGCTGCCCTCCCATGATCACCTCCCATCACCCCAGCCTCCCATCCCTGAAGATCTGTGAAAAGGATGTGTGGCCTTTTTAAGAAACAAAAGATGAAGAAGGCACCAAGCCCAGATGGTGTGACCCCCTCCTGCCTTAAAACCTGTGCTGATCAGCTGACCCCCATCTTCACACTTATCTTCAACAGGTCACTGGAGCTGTGTGACGTCCCCTCCTGCTTCAAACACTCCACCATCATCCCGGTCCCCAAGAAACCCTCCATCAGCAGACTGAATGACCATAGACCTGTCGCCCTGACGTCTGTAGTTATGACGTCCTTTGCGAGACTGGTGGGCCTTAGGAAGAGCCCCTGACAATACTCAGCAGTGCTGTAGCAAGTGTTTTGATGCAGTCACGTAGCCAGTTTGTAGTTTGACCATAAACAACCAGTCAAATTTGTCTGACGATTTCAGTGTCGGCCTTAACGGCAGAAGTTCCAGAGCCTTGTCGTGTCTCTAGTTAGACATAATTATTGGTAAATGACTTCCTCACTGGATGTTTGTAGTTTTTTGGTTTCATGGCAGTCACATGACAGAATGTCATCAACATGTCCGCTAGCTTGGTGTGAATTGTCCAGACAATAACCTGCTTTATTCACACATGGCTAATGCTGAGATCCCAGTGTGAAAATGTGCATGCATGGACACACTGTCTTTTCCTCCTTTGTAGTCAAACCTAACTCACAACAGTTAATGAGCAGAAGAAAAAGAGTCTTACAATAAAAGCCAGGGACATGGTCCTTTGTTGTTTGTTCAGTAGAAGAAACCATCCTAAAACAACATGCAGACTGTGTCCAAGTCCACTCAGTGCTCTCGCTCACCACTGGTTTCAACCACTTCGACACTGACTAGACATTGCTCAGTTTCCCCCAAATCTCCTCTTTCACCTCTTACTTCATGCTCCAGCATGTAATTCAGTGCAAGATCTCTTTTTTTATGGACACAGGAATATTTATTCCATCCATTGTGTGTGCACTGCAGCTCTGACCCTTGCAATCCTCTTACAGCACTTCTGAGACACTGGTACTGTGGGTGATGCAGGAATTGCAGCTTATTGCAGCTTGTACTGTAGCAGCCATTGTGAGTCTTCTGTTATTTTGTAAAAAAAAGTTTTGAGGCAAGTTTTGAAATAAACAAATAAACAAAAGAATGTATCACCATGGCAAGAAACAAGTCCACCATCTCTGATGTCACATGATGTGCTGAAGGATGCACAGCACACACAAACACACACACACACACACACACCAAGCAGGAATAAAGTATAGTTTCAGCTGGTGCAGATTGTCTGTCCTGTCTTTTATATCTATTCAGTATATCTATTAAACTACAGGCAGAAACTACTCATTCATTTCTAACATCTACTATCAAAACCATCAAGAGCAAAAGGATAGAGAACAGATTCTCAGCTTTTTTCCAACAATGCAATATTGTCAAACATTTTCTGATCACGTCAAATGGACGACAACAAGCTGTGGTGCAGATGAATGCAAATCCTCCAGAAGACGCAATGTACACAAAAAAGAATAAAATCTAACTTTGCTGTTCATATGCCTGCTACCTTTAAATCCCTGAACCAACCAAACCACCAGCTCGATTCATCATGATTTGATCCGTTAAACAGCCTCTTCCCAAGGACTGGAACATGAACCAGCCCTGTTTACTACAAAATGTTCACTAGTTTTGCTGTCGCACCAAGAAATATTTCCATGTTTCCATATTCCTAAATATTTGTAATGCTGGACTGTGGTACTGACATCTCCATTTGAATGGACTGGGAACATCAGCAATTCATGCTATGGTGAAATGCACACATTTAGTTTTTCTATAGTTTAGAACGAGCCTTACATAAAACAGGGAGGTCTGCAGGTCATCAGCAGCAGAGTGTAGTCTGGGGAAGGTATGGGTCTGCCAAGCTAATTAGCTGTTAATAGAAAAGACTAACTTTACTAGGCCTCAATCAAACATTTGTCAGGCTGCTTCCTGCTTTGCTGGCCACCATTTATTCCACATGAACAAAGCACGAAGAGAATTAGCACATTAAAAATTCCATTATCGACAACCTACCTGAGTTTCTCAGGGAAGCAGAAAGTCCTCAGGTGGAGGCAGGCCTTTTATGAATTCCCATTCCAGTCACATCACCGGCCTCAGGGTTACAACAGGATGACAAGCTAACAAGGACACCCTCCTACCTGCAGGAGAGCAGAGGAGGAGGAGAGGGAGGTGGAAATAGAGCAAAGAAGGAGTCCAGGGATGGAGAGAAGAAAGAGACAAATGTCAACATGTTACATCATTAATTCATTAGTATTCTTAAAGCTTCTTTGTTTCTGTCTTCTGTCCCTGCTGTCACTTCTCTCCCTCCTCCTCTTCCCACCTCTCCCTCATCTTTCTCGCTCTCCTTTTGGTGCTGCTCTGCCTCTTTTCCTTTCATCGAAGTTTTGCAGCAGGTCATACAGAAAGTGTGAAGGGAAAATCCAGAGTCAGCGGTGGTGATGGTAGTTTTACAGACATGCACATATGGAAAGGATGAATAAAAATATCAAGGAATCAAAAGTGGCAGACAATGAACCACTATTTTAGCAGTCAGCCCTAATTTGGCACTTTCCACATTAAAACCCTCTGGATGTCTTGACACATTCACAGCCAATTTTTACGCTATTCTTATGGTATAATCATCATTTCAATATGATTTCAGTTCTTGCCCACAAATTTTAATGCACAAAGAAGAATTATTAAAAAATATAATAGCTTAAAAATAAATCACCAACTTGTGACTTAAACACTGCTAAGTGAGCGTGATGAGGAAGGTTGAGGGGAAAAATGTAACTCATCATCTACTGTAGGAACAGTGAGCATCTCTGATGACACTGGGTCACTGCAGGGGGGTGTGGGTGTAATGTGGGTGACCCTGCCTTTTGGAGGAAATGTTACATCTCATTCTGCTTTGGCAAATATATTGTACATCATAGAAAAATATATATTTGTATGTATTTTTCTCTAATGCAGAAATCCAATTTTCTATTAACTTGAATTGGCTTCAGGCCTCCAGGGATGTACTCACTTACTTTAGTTAATTTAGTTTGTGCTGTCACAAAACATAGAAGTAAGGTAATTAAACATGGTGATAAAATGCAGCCGCAGCAGATGAACACAGAAACATAATTTGTGCAGCAGAGATAAATAACAGAAAAGGTGAGCTGTAATAGCTGTATATGAAAGTCCTGGTGATAAGGCACAAGCAAATTAGATAATCAAACCTCAGTGACTATAAAACACTACATGATGGACGATGGCAAAAAAAATTATATGAAAAATAAGCAGAAAAGAACAGAGAGAAAATCTCCCAAGAGAAAGAATTAGTAGAAAGGAGTTGGGGGGAGGAAGAAGGAAGAGTCTGAGTCGGACCACTGGGAGAAACTTCAAGCTGTTTTGTTCAGACACTAGAAAACAGCACTAGCACTAGCAACAACAGGAAGCTGTCTAGCCAGAGAATTGAAATAAACAACAGATAAGTGGGGAGAACAGGAGATGAGGAAACCTCCAACAAATGCATGTCCAAAAAAACTGAAGCAATGCTGAATGGAAATATTCCAGTGAGTGCTTTCATGAAAGAAGAGCAAGGCTTAAAAACCATCACATATACACAGTTGTACTGTTTTTGAACTCTTTAAAGCATCAGCTGTCTGAGAGAATATCCAATAATTTCCAACAAACCCCATGAAAAGACCCACACCACCAATAAATTGATCCTGATTTACTTCCTCACAGCCAATCCTGCTGCCACAAATACTCAGTAGAGACCAAATGTTGATTCATCCACCGCTGAAAATAGTCCCCAACAAATGGATTGTTTCCTCCTGTTTGAATAAAGTTTGCTAAAAAGAAAAAAAAAACTACAGTATTTGAATGCCATTAAAAAAAATTACATCTTCAGTAGGAACCAACGGGTTCGGAGCAGAGTGTCTCCGACATAGTAGGGAAGCAAGAAACTACTGAGACCCAGACTAACACATTGTTGGTTTGGGTAGGCTACTTTCTAGGGCTGTCCCCAATACTATTTTTGGCCTTTGGAGCTACAGTATGTTTCAAGTGTGCAGGGAGCGCCTACAAAGTGCAACAGCAAACACCACCAGTGTAAACTAAACATGAATACACCAGGGTTAAACATCTAGCTTTATGTGCTACATTCTCAGGAAAGAGGGGTGGATTAGGGGAGTGACTAGCAGAAATACAGAAACAAGACAAATGTCAAAAAAGTGATACAGGACGTAAAGTCAGACCCAGAGCAGGAGACACTGTAGGTGAGAGCAAACAGCAGATGGTGTCTCACAGAGTTCTTTGACTGACAGCTGAATTGACATTGCCATATCTACACATCAGCATTAGCATGGCCTGGTACGACACAAAAAAGCCTTAGCTTGGGCTAACGCTGCAGGCTAAGAGATTATCATTAGCTACATCATGTCTTTGAGCTACATGAGAAACGATGATCATTAGTCTCCTGATGTGTAGACGACACAGGGGACATCACATAGGATGGAAAGTAGTGATGGCAAAGATCAACCTTCAATTTGAAAACATTCAAACTATCAGCAATTGTGGAAATGTAATTATGATAATCAGAAATGTGTGTAAATCAAACAGTTGTTCTATTTATTTGATTGTATTTGAAGAAGAAGAGTAACTGCAACTTATTGTAATAAACACAAGATGAGATTATCACTGGTCTGTCTGGAGTTAGACAGGTGTCACAAACTGTCACACAGCCATGATTTTCTTAGTGACTGGTGTGTTTCAGAGCTATTCAGCCATACAAAAAGTGCTTTGGTTGAAGCATAATGATGCTTTTACTCATCAAATAGTACTTAAACAAATAAATCTTCACGTAAGATAAAGACGTTTTAGTGGTTTATGGGTTGAATCTGAGTTAATGCCTAAGCCTTTATTTTTTTATCTTGAATGTCTGCAGAGAAACATTTTAGCACTATGACTAGAAACTTGGGGTGGTACAGAGGTTAGCACTGTCACCTCACAGCAAGAAGGTTTCAGGTTCAAGCCCGCAGCCTTTCTGTGTGGAGTTTGTATGTTCTCCCTGAGCCTGTGTGGGTTCTCTCCGGGTACTTCGGCTTCCTCCCACAGTCCAAAGACATGCAGCTTAAGTTGACTGGTGACTCTAAACTGCCCCTAGGAGTGTGAGAGTGTGTGGTTGTTTGTCTACATGTCAGCCCTGTGACCGACTGGTGACCTTTCCAGGGTGGACCCCACCTCTAGCCCAGTGTCAACTGGGATTGGCTCCAGCTCATCCCCACAACATGACCCTATTCAGGAATAAGCGATAGATAATGGATGGACTAGAAACTTGTGTCTAGAAAAGACAGTTTCAATCTGAGGAGTTCAACAAAATCCTTTCTGACTATGTTACACAAGTATCTGTCAAGTGTCAGTTCTAATTACAGAGGAGCAGCAATAAACGTGGTTTGAAGAATGAACAGTTACAGTACGTCGTGCTGTGACACTGCTAGTGTGGAGCACTGGAAACAAAGGAAACCAAACTGGTGCTGCTGGGTTTGAATCTTACATCAGGAAGAGAGGACAATGAGCATCCTTCCTCCAGTCTGTCTGCTAAAAATCAAGGAAAATCCAAATCTCTGAAGGAAGGTTCAACTCCTGGGGCACAAAGCAAAAAGCTGCAGTTTTCTGTTATTATCTTACTTTATGTAATCTATGTGTTGAAATTCATGAGTGTTTAACCCCAAAAAGCACAAAGCTCTAGAAGAAAGACAGAAACTCAGTGATGCAGAGATTCAACAACAGGTTACAGTGTTTTCTTTTTTAGGGAAAAAGTTTATTTCTACTCAGTTTTTCCTCTCGCCTTCCTCAGCAGCCTCTCTTCAGCACATTTGATGCTTCGCTGGGGTCTATGAACAAGAAATTCAGGAATGTCTGTCATGGTTATTGGTCGTATTATTCCCTCTTCCCCATTTCCTCATTTACCAAACAAAGCATTTTATAAACTGCTGATTATCTAAGATGCAGAAGCACCACTGTAGTCTTGTTATGAAGGTCGTTAATCTTTATTAGGGGTAGCTGCAAAATACTAATCACACCTATGAGGTTTGTTTTGTTTTGAGACATCAAAACCAAAATAATTAAAATGTAATTAGAATCATGAAGTTGTCCTAGAATTACTGCAGGTAAATAATCAAGACATTTGCATGTAAAACAACATTGATGTCCACCAATAACACAACCACAGTCGATGTCAAACATGCGACAGGCTCTAGCTGTTTCTCTGCACCCCACAGGCGTGGATTAATAAACACTGTTAAGATTTATATCAGTAGACAATAGACATTTTTCCACAGTCACAGATTTTGTGCTGATCTAGCTCTCCCTTTCATACCATGGCAGCGGTGTAAATATTTCCTGCATGGCAACATTTGATCAGTTGGATAAAGCACATTGATTTATGTCAGGTATTTATTTCACTGAGCCAGAGATAGAGTATATATTTCTGGTTTCCGTGCACAGTGGCAAGAAGACTAAAAAAAGTAAATAAATCACCAAACCAAAACAAAACCAACTTGAAAGTTTTACATTTTAGTTTTTGGACAAATGAAATAAACAAGCTATATGTTTAAGAATTTTCAGACTTTTGAACAGTCTGACTATTTGTTTCTCCCTGACTTCCAGTGGGATGCTTTATCCTAAGCTAACATGCTAATGGCAGTAGCTTCATATTTAATATACAGACACGGGAGCAGCATTTATCATCACATCTAACTCTTGGCAGGAAGCAAACTGCCACTCTTCCTTTAATTCCTCTTCTAAGTCCCACTGTTCTTATCGACCATAAAGCTGTCGTGTTTGTCACTTGCTTACGTGAAGAAGCCTTGTCTCAGCTCTTTCCAGCTTGTTTGTTGATTCCCTCTCTGTCAGTCTCACAAACTGCCTACACCTCAACATTCAACTGACAAACACACAGAGCACACATGCACAAAGAAAATATGCCCGTGTACACACAGAGACAGACTGAGGCTCACCCTGTCAGACACACTGCAGACATACTCATTTGAGTCCATGTTACAGAGGGATTACTGTAATGAGCCAAACACTTCAGATGTTATCACATCTTCAATGGCTTCTTTAACTGTTATCAGGACTATATCTATGGGTCAGTAGGGCCCTACTC